TATCGGAACTTCGGCAAGGCTTACGACACTTCACATGTATGTGCCAAAATCCGATCATTTTGCCAACTGACTTTTGAACAAGGTTTTTCCCTAGTAACTGATTTTTTGTACCCTCCGGGGCAAAGAATAGGACTCGTGTATAATTTGTGTGACGTTTGTACGGTACCTCGGGAATTTTGCGTATTTTCTGACCTACATTGCGTATGGCATTTATGGGCCTTCAAAATGGCGCAGTGTCGCTTATATGGCATTATAAAGTAACATTATTATCGTTCTTAATTTCCTTGATGTTACATGTAATCATAAGTCATTGATTGTATTTTTCAAATCGACGGACTTTCCCACAGATTATCTCCGGAATAATACTTTTCGGTTTCAAATATCATAAAATGAATATTTCTGAAGTACACGAGTTACGTACTTACACTTATCAAAGTGCTGACTCATAAGAATTAGGCCTCGCTAGATACTACTAAATATCTTTTCCTTAAACTGTAAACGTCTAATGGACTTATCAACAACATGTAAAGAAACTATTATTGCGCGTTCCTCTATCATAATTTTGATAAAATAATTAAGATAAGAACCGAGTAAATAGTTCCTGACTCACATATATTGTGTAAATAAGTCGATTATAAGTGCTTGTTCAATTATTGGAATTTTTTCCTTGATTTTATACGTATACCATCCTCTTCCTAAGCAGAATTACTTCCTTTATCGTAGATTTATTAACTGCATTGATAATGTATCTAAGTTTGATGACTTCTTTCGATCGTGATATCGAAATCTTTCTTATATCAACGCCAGTATCACCTGTTCTTACTACAACATGGTGTGTTTATATCTAAGTTATTTTCTACATCCGCTGGAGGAATGAGAGTAATCATGAACCATTGTTATCTTAGCATTTTGATAAGTTTTCCAAAAATCCCAACTACACTCTGATCATACGAGAAGGTTAATGTGGAAACCCGTTCCGACGTATTTTACTTATATGGACGGACCAGCAAACACCAAGTGCTGTTTCGTGACACCTAAGAATAGTATCCCATTTACCTATATGTAGACTGTATCTGTAGTTTCAATTATCCTCTCGACAAACAGCAGGACCTTCTATCTCAGCTGTTCCGCTTACGTTTTCTGATTCATTTCATTCAAGACCACACGTCCGTAATTAACTTGCATGGAAGTATTTTGTTCCTGGTATACGTTCAGTGGTCAACCATAGGTCACAGTTAAGGTGATTCAACGCCATTACCACACAACCGACCTTGATATGGAAGTAACCTGTGTTTCTCTTGCAAACAGTGTCAATAAGGAATCATTTGAGTCATCACTGAGTCATTAGGTACTATTACAAATGATTCACCGGAAAACATGTCTTGTGTGATTGTGTTAGGACTGGTAATTAGTTGCAGGGTTCGGTTTGGTTGGGTTAGGTCTGACTGCCAGCGATCTATAATGCATTATGATCTGCACACTATGTATGGTTTTATGTTTTGATTGTCGTGGGATTTTCTACCTTATTAGTATGGGTATAAACCAGTTTTATTTGTTTGGTTCTCACGTACTAAACAATAGATTCTTTGCTTAGAAGTTTTAATTTACTGGTCATCTTAAGCGTATGACGTCTTTATTTGATTTTAAAAAACATGGCGATGGCTTTTTGTCTCTATTTCCTTTTATTCGAATGATTTGTTATTAGAAGTCATGTCTTTAATTGATGACATTTACATTACGAATAGGTAACTAGGTAGTTTAATGTGGATTCACAAATTGAGTTTCTAGATTTTTCGCTGAATACAGATTGCAATCGACTGAAACACAAATGGAAAACTTAAACAGTCGTGAACATTCTATCGTAGACCTTCAAACAACTGCTAACAAAATATCATTTATATTCATAAAGTAAATCTGAAACAAGTCGCTGATTAGACAAGAAGGAGGCCATTACAACAGGGCTTAACACTTAGGAAAAGCCTATCTGTAAAATATTAATGACGGTCGTGATTAAATATGAATTCAGTTCCTACTGGCCGATACAGGTCTAAGAAACGTTTTTGCGAAATAACATTTTTATGTAGCATAATATTTAAGTTCTTATGATTACAAATACCGAAACTGATTAATAGTTAACATACTTGTCTGTTAAACGGGTGATGCGTACACAGCTTAATCTGTATTTTATTGTTTTGGAATGACATTATTTGATAACCTTCTTTCTACAAGTAGGTACGTGATAGAAGATTTTAAAATATTATGAGGTAATTCATATAAATTTTACCTAAACAATATATTTTAAGATACTTTCGAGGATCCTTAGAACTTTTGGGATCTATAGAAATGTATAACGGCGGTCCTTACTTTATAATGAGATTCGGTATTTACCAAGGGTTTAAAATTTACCTCCCAAAGAGATACACCATAACTTAATACAATCTCCATAATTATATTTAATTAAATGATAACCGAGACAGCTTAGTTATTTATGATAATTTTACACACAACATTACGCCTTTTATCTCCGAAGGGGTAAGCAGAGGTGCACATTACTTCTCGTAACACCCACTTTCCACTAATTATGTTATGAGTCCCATGCAATAGGGACTGAGTCTATTGCCATATACCGGGCACAATTCCAGACTCCGTGCTACTACTGAGTATTTACCAGTAATACTATGCCCGAGGCCGTGGTATCACTCCGGTTGAGCCGGCCCATTCGTGCCGAAGCATGGCTCTCTTATGATGATAATCATGATGAAAACATTATCAATATTAATTTTATATTCGTTTTGTTTATCCGCTGTCACATTGAATGTGACCTCTTCACATTTACGTAGGCAGGCGTTGTCGAGCAGTCACTTTCGCAATGCCTGACTCACAGATAACAATTATATCAGACTATTGTTTATTTATATTCGCAATTACTTTTCTGGGAAGATTTTAACATGTTACAGGATTGGGTAGTTGACAGGGTAAGAAAATTAAAAATCTAATTAGTCCGTCAGTTAGATAATGAAAAAATATTGGACATGTATTTTTTTATTTTGTTGTATAATAAAATAATACTTAGATATAACGAATCAAAGTTTAGGAGTGGGGACTAAAACGTCATTTCTACGTATTTAATGCACATAGAAGTGACGTCACCCGACATTTCAAATCAATATATCGTCAAAAGTATTCGTTTCTGTAAAAAAATAAAAAATACGTGTGTAATGTTTTAAAATAATCTACCAGACGGACATTAAAATAAAAATTAGTCATCTACCCTATTATCCTTGTTAACAGGTGTAACAGATCTAAGCTTAAGAGTTTGTTCGAACGTTCTGGGCCGTCTTAGACTACGGCTCTTACGCACACAATAATTCGGGGTCCTTGTAGAATGTCTCTTTTTTACATTGAATCACACTAGGATAAAGGATTATCTACTGTATTGTGGGTGCATTTACAAACATACAAGTTGGGTGTCATGTATAGACATGACAGAAACAACAATTTGTAGATCACACAAAGATTTGGTACGTACGCGAATGGAAGCCGCGACATTGGGGCCCTGGCCACGGATCCCGAGTGCACTTATGTTAAAGACGGTACTGTGAACGTGCCAATCTCTTGAACTAATGGTTTGCATTTGAACAATGTTTTGTGAAGGATAGTTCATTTATCGAGGAAGTTTGTGAATATCGCTCAGAGGCCTTAGTACGAGTTGACTGCTTCTTATCTGGCGCTCCGATTGGTTAGATCGTTGGAAGCAGCCAATCAGAGCGCCGAACGCGTACTCGTTTCGATTACTTTAAACGTGAAACAAACTTGTACTAAGGCTTCAGAGACCAATAGGACATCAGCATCTGGTGAAACCGCACCACAGTAGTTTTATATTTGGTGTAAGAATGAACTCTGCTGTTTCAATATGTAGCGTGATTAATTTCATTTATTGGGATTTTTCCATAGTTACTATTTTGAACTGTGGTTTATGACGATGGGTAATATTTTTAAATTGATTTTACGATAAATTAGCTAATTAAAAATCAGTTTCCGCATCATCCTGTTTGTGAAAACATAGTGCTTAGGTTTTCGTACATAGTTACATATAACATGGTCTAATAATAATTTAGAAATGCGGTTTTATAATGGCGGTTGTTGTAAAATTAATTTTCCTGTGACGTTGAAATGATGTACCTAAATGTATAGAAATATTTTGCCTAAAAGGCTATCTAACTTGGCATAATATTTGATTATGAAAATTTGGCTAAGTGTGTAGTTAAGCACCAAAACCGACATTTCTCCGTCTCAGCATTGGATTTCGTATAAAGACGAGACAATAAGAAGACATTTCAATCGCGATATCTAAACATCACAATCATACATCCCTCAGCCGCATACCTCGCGAGGAAAGACATAGTCATAGACAAAAACAAAAACAGTAACAGTTTTTTAAAATCAGATAATAGGACATTTTGGTCCCTCCCACGTTTTAGAGGTCCTATAATACACAAGCGGCCTTCCATGTTAGTTATTCTCTACATAAAGTAACTTCGTGTCTGCCTTTCCTGGCTCCCAGCCAATGCAAGTCATAAACAACTTGTATCTAGCATAGACTTTGTTTCCCGCGGTCACAGATGACACATAAAAAGTGCTATTGTTTTATTTATTTATAGATATAGGAAGTTTATGTAAAAAAGGTTATAATCTGTAGGTGGGTTGTTAATGGTTGGTCTTTGTTTAATAATGCGGATTGTCGTCAAGCGCAAATGGTTGGTCACAAGATCATTTCGTGTTAGTTGTACGGAAACACTCGAAGACGGGGAGACTTTATACAATATTGACGATTTTCTGAGATGTCTAGATCAAAGATCATTAAAATCGATACAGTCATTCATGATGTATATTGAATAAAATAATTAGGAACATCTTATTATCCCAATGTCGTAAATATTTTAATACCTAAATGGAACAACAATGGTGATTATTAACCATTTTCGTTCAACCTATTGCAGAGTTCATCAGATTCGGTGCTGACAACGAACTCAGTGCTGGACCGCATCAGCAGTCTTCAACAGCAGAACTCGGAACAAGTGATTACTCCACATGTCGCCTCCACGCTGCACAGGAATAAGAGCTCGCTACATGCGACTGGACAGGGCGCACTGGGTGAGTACAGAAAGTCGTAATTTTTGCAATACGATCAGGGATTCTGAATTTAGTTTTACAAACTTGCCGTTAAAATCCGTGCTGAACTGAAAATGTTCAAGTATTCGAGTTCCTCGTCATTCACTTGTACCTAATTTTAGTGGTAGTTTTCTATTTGGAGATTTAACCTAACCCCCGTTTGGAAATTGTCGGTGTATAAAACTAAAACTAGGTTGCTTATGGGACGACGTGCTCCATCGTAGACCGCATCATCGCTTACCACCAGGCGAGATAGTGGTCAAACGTCGACCAATCAAATATAAAAACAACAATATCCATTTCCAACAACCTCAACCAATATAATGTTATTCATTACAGGTGGGAGTATGACCTCCCTTTCATCATCATCATCACCGACTCCGGCACCAGCGTCTTCGCTTTCAACGTCGGATCTTTGTGACAGACCTCGAGTTAGCCACGGGAAGCCCAACCTAGCACCCAAGCCCCCACAGTTATCCCCGGCTCCCAATATTGACACTAGACCTTCGCCTCCGCCTAAGAAACTGATTACTAACGGCAAAGTCGCTGGAAGAACTCAGAGTATGAGGGTACCTAGGTGAGTTTATGTAACCTTGTAAGATGTTAAATGTTAAAATCGTAGAATAAAAACGAATGTTAATAATTTTCATCGTTAAACTGTCAAACACCAAGCGGTCACCGGTGACCGCGACCTATTGTTCTTTAATTGTGTCTATAAAACCGGTACTCGACGAGTTAAATAAATGATTTTTAGATTTTTGCGTTTACTAGGTGGCGCTAGTGTAGAATAAGAAGTGCGAATACTCTATGAATTCATTTTCGTTAATTTTTATATTATTTTAGTAATGCCTTTAGGGTTGTATTCCATCCTTTTAAACAAGTATCTTATAACTTTACGGTATACGTTTCAGATCTCCACCGGCATCGCCGTCATCGCCACAAACAGCTGGTGGCCGGCCGTTCAACCTGCCACCAGCTCCTATAAATCCACCCATCGGTACTAAGAACCCGGCTTCGCATTTCGGTAAGCATACTTTAACTATTTTAGGAGTTGAAAACTGATTAATATTCTTTATTGTCAGTGGTGATGTAATGTGAATGCGTTTCGTTTGGCAATCGAGAGTTTCGGATCACTGTACCCCTGTCACTGTATCACTGTCACCCTAAGGTTGACTGTTAGAGAATGCCACTAGGCATTAAGTCCGCCTTTGTATACCTACATGAAGTGTAAATAAATAAATAAATATAGTATGTAATTAAATCGTGCACTGATCATGTTCTTGTGCATAGATAAAATATAAGTTCCTTATGTCGGTTTGAGTATCCATTTTAGAATAATTTTGCAGGGTTCTATCGTTTTCTCTCTTATCTTCTGGGCTTATGATTACTAAGAAGTTTAGAAAGTCGAAAAATTATATTGTGCCTGTTTTGGACATTGAAACACTTGTGTTTAAACAATACCTCTTCTTCAAAAACGTATTCGAATTTATAATAATTATTTGTAAAAGCACTGTATTGTAGCTTTTTTTTTTGAAGGGAACATCTTCCAATGTAGTGGCGGGGAGTGTTAGACTAACTACTAACTAAAAACTAAGCTAAGTCATCCGCAGCTCGGATTATTTTGTCTCGATTATTTCGCGAAATATTTAGTAGCCTAAAGTGATCAACAATTGTCTTATCCTACTAATATTATAAATGCGAAAGTTTGTAAGGATGTGTGTCTGTGTGTGTGTGTGTTTGTGTTTGTTAGTTTGTTACCTTGTTACCCTTTCACGTCAAAACAGCTGCAAGGATCGAGACGAAATTTGGAATAGAGGTAGATTATGGTTTGGAATAACACGTAGGCTACTGTTTATCCCAGGGCACGCGGGCGAAGTCGCTGACAGAAGCTAGTGCTGTAATAAAAAATAGTGAGTAATGTAAATGTTCATGATGTTTGCAGGTACACTGCGAGCGCCCCGCGGGCTCCGTCCGCCGGGCGTGTGTCCGCCGCCGCCGCCGGGCGCGCCGCCCCCTCCCCCCGGCGCGCCCCCCCCGCCGCCGCCCGCGCGCCACGCGCAGCAGCCGCCGCCGCCCCCGCCGCCACACCACCGACAAACTGTAAGCAACGCGGTATCAACAACGATACGGACTCGTAACACAGTTTCCACCCGCGCCCGCCGCGGTGGCGTAATGTAGATTTATTTTCAAAGCTCACGAGACCCCTGTTTTCTACGAACCCGCCGCGTTTGCGAATATCACCCGCAAACGCGGACGGAAAATGTGTCGTGAAATGTGCTTTAACCTCTCGTCTGTCAATATATGACACACAATAGAAAACGCATTGTGTCTCACGTACATCTACGGTCCGACATACTAGAGGTTAATTTTTTTACATACAATATGCACAGGTAGTGCTACAAAATGGGCCCGCAACCATGGCGGGCGCGGGAGAAAATTGCTCAATACATGAAAATACAGATAGAATTTTGACATAAAGAATTAAACATGCATGCAAAATGTGTCTAAATTATATATCTAGTATGCAAATACAGGATAAGCTAAATAATGTAAAGACTGTAATGTTTAGCCATAAAATATTGCCTTTACTCGGCTCATATCTCAAGTTATTTATAACTTTTCAGTGCTATGTCAGACGTCATCACGTTACAAACCCACTTTCTTTTATAACGCTAACAATACGAACTAATAATATTTTAATTAATAATACACAAATCAGTAAATGCTACGTAAAATATGAATTATAGAAAAAAGTTAGCAATTTTTCATCCTTGTAGTCTTTTTTTTGTTCTTTAACTTAGTTTAAAAGTTAAATGAGAGAATGAATACTTTTTTATAACTACGGATCGGGAATGTCTAATCTATGGATAAAATTGTAACATTTACTAGCCACACGGTTTAACTTTTTAAAACGCCAAAACCAACTAATTAATTCCTATGTAACTTCCAGAGTATGAACGGCGACGAGGGTATAGCCCCACTACCACCAGTTCGTGGCTCGTCGATGCGGTCTCTGGACCTGGAGGCTCGCTTTGCCGACTTGTTCCAGCACCCATCGCGCTTCCCAGAGCCTGACCCCTTCATGCGCATCGCTAAAGGCTACAGCAGCGCCACCGTCGCCGGTAAGTACGCGTGAAACGGTGCCAGGGAACTTACGGTTATACCAAGAGGGCGCCACTGAAGTTTACAAGTCGATACGAGAAAGTTCTGTACTTTTGTCGGTCGACTAGTTAAGAACTTTTCGGCCGATCGGTTATAAAGTTGATGGGATTTGATCAAAGACTTTATTAGAATGTTATTCTGATCAAACAAATGTGTTGTCAGTTAGTTTTCGTTTAGTAGTGCTGGTATATGTGTCTCGAGTGTTTAACAGTTTCTCAAGATTTGATCAAATTAGTTCACTGGTCCAGACCAAAACTATGAAAATGCGATCAAATCACATAGTGGCATATTATTAATACTAATAAATGTCATTGTATCTATAGGAATGACTTAATTCCGACAAATCAAGTATTTTAATTATTGTACTAAAGTACTATAGACTATGTCGACATGACAATACGTGCAATTATTACAAATGAGTATAATTGCCGACTAGAGATGCGCATTTCAACATCGATATATCCTATCGAGTATCGATACTGCTTAAAACAAAGATTACAAATAGTATCGATATGTTTTTAGTAGATATTTATGGAGCAACACGCACAAGCATGCTCTGCTTAGTCATATTATATTAACGTAGTTTATCTAGATTATTTTGGCTTATGTAGTAAGTCCCATAGGTACAAGTCAAAATTGACACGCATAATATCTAAGTAAAAGTTATTTTAGTCATGACTATTATAAAAAACTAAATTAATTATTGTCTTGAAGATACAATTGTTATAATATTATTATGATAAAGTATTATTTTTGTTATTAAAATGTTTATTTTACGTGCATGAACGCATGACGTATGGTTAAGTGTCTTATTGGAGACTGAAATTGAATTAAAGGTTAGCGCGCACTTGTTGATTTATTAGATCACAAATCAATTTGAACTGGAACTATAATATTCTATTATTCAACCCCTCTGAAGTAAAGTAAATTACAAGATTATTGTCATTTGTGAACTATGTACTTGAAGAATAAAGAATGTTCTCAAAGAACATTCGCTAGCCAGGAGGATAAAGAAAATCTACAAATTTTAATACATTTAAAATGTATTGGCTCTTCCAAATATTTTGATTCTGTCGAACTAATTATCACGAATGCGCGCTAAACACATATTTATTTGTACTGAACGATACTTTTCATTGCTAGATACTGCACATAGTAGCATAGTTAGTTAAACTCAATGCTTACAGATTATTATATCTTCGAATTGTTCGTTTTATAGTACATTTTATATTTTCGTAAAAGTACACGTAATTTTTCCAAAGTTTGCATTTAATTTGTCATTCCGGGAATGCATTGGTCTCATTGGTTGGTTGTCGATATAATGCAGTTCAAAATAACGGTCGCGGATATTTTTCATTTTTTTTTTTTTTGTATCATGGCGTTCCATGGTTATATGGTTACTAACAAATTATATGGCGTTGGTTTATCAAAATGCCGGTTAGACTTGCTATTAATGTTATTATTATTTTTCTTCTTAACTTACTTTAAAAGTTAAATGAAAGTTTTTTGTAACTACTCTATGGATTACTTAGACATTCTGTAAATTTTATATTATATTTATCCTTTAAAAAGGTACTTTACAGTATTAACACCACAAAAGTATTATTTTACACTCAGCCCATCTTGAAATGCAAGTCTCGTCTGTATTTTGGTTACCCACAGTCCACATACCAATGCAAATCATTCGTAATCAATCACTTATCAATGAAATCATTCGATTTAATACCAAATTAAAGTTTCAATCTAATTATAAGACTATTTTATACACGGAGTGTTTTGTTCATTATTTAGTTTAATTATTAGGTTAGGACTTCTACCAATGTATTGCGTTGAGTCATTAAGAATATTTATATTTAATAATTACATATTTTTATTATTATTATTATAACTTAGTTTATGTATTAATGGTTATGTTTCGTCGCTTGCACGATTTAGCGAAGAAGTAAGAACTATGTTGTGATTCTTTTTTTTAATATAGTGAGGTGCCATTACTGCAAATTGTTTATGCTATTATTGTACCTGTATCGCTTCATGCCCATTTTTTTCACTCAATAGTTGCTCAGTAAATTGCTTAACTGCTGACTGGTAATGTCTTAAATGCTTTTTGAAGCATTATTATTATAATGCGCCTCATCATTCACATAGAAAGTGCAGTCAATTATTTTATTTGAAAGATTTTTATTTTTGCTTTGTGTTCCAAAGTGCCTTTTTGAATATGCAGTTAAGAAATTTAGTGATGGGCAATATACGCTTTATGTATTGAAACGCAACCGGTATTGTGATAGTGATGTGTACGACGCTCATAGTATTTATATTATTATTTTTTGGATAATAAAAGAGTAATAATTACCAATCAGTGGTCCTGTATTTTTATTGTCCTAACATTCAATGTCGTATGCTTATTTGTGAATGTCTTTATGTTAATGTAGTTCAACTTTTTAATTGGAATTAGGTAATAACAAGTCTATTATGATTTGTTCTTTGTTATTTCAGTTTTTCATAACTCATAGAGTAGTCGATTTCTGTTCCTTACTTTCTTTCAAGATTCTGAAGAGTTTTTGTTTAAAATTATTCAATTTTGCACAATGATAATTTGTTCTATCTTACATGTATGTACTTATGTAGTAAACAGCAATATAGACAGTATTTCCTTTGCAATAAAGTAGAAATTTGTTAAATGTTACAAATATTTGATCCGTAGTAAAGGTATAACAATGATAATGTCAGTGTTGTAGTTTGTAACCGCTGTACTCACAGTCATTTAATGATGACTTATCCCAGTCCTTAGTATAAATATTTTCAAAACAAAATCGGAACTAAGGAATTGTATAAGTAATCATCAAATGTCTCTCGAGGGCTTAGTACGAGCTCGTTTTACGTTTCGAAATCGGAATGTTACCGCGTTCCGTGCTCTGATTCGTTGGGTCATCAGAGCAGGCCAATCAGAGCGTCGATTGCGGTTTTGATCTCGTTAAACGCAAAATAAACTTGAACTCAGCCCTCAGAGTACAGCAGTATCTAATCATAAACCAGTGTAGTGTATTGTGGTGTACATCTATGTGACGCATGTCGGGTAAGTTCTTAATTATTATATCAAGCATTTTACCGCCATACATGTGAACATTGTTAACACTGCATGGAGCATAGCATGACACATTTCACTAATATTCGTCGCATGATATACAAGCTTTTAGTTAGGTAGTACATGTAGATGATTCATTTTGTAGATTTCAGATTTTTAGTGTGTTAATTTAGTTAGCTAATTATGACCAATCTTCCCTTAAAAATGGCGTATCGCTAGTTAAAGGCAAATATTATGTCAAATTATGGGATTGACATAAGTTTTGTTAGACTGTTAATCCCATTCATTGACTTTTATTCACTTGTTTTCGACCAGCGTTTATGCCATTTGTCGAGGGGCTAGATTCTAAACAGAGGCTAATGAAGAAGGCATTTCAATGGGTTCATTGTCTTGGCCTGAATTAGTATGGGATTGTGGTTTGCATGAAATTAGAACAGGGAACTAACACATTGACATCGATATATTTGTATTTCTATAGAAGTTCATGTGTCTAGAGAACATATTTTGATAAGCGACACGATTGTGACTAAGTACCAAATGAATAATGCTGCGAAAATGAAAACTTAATAACATGTATAATACACCTGAATTTAGCAACAGCTGTTCTCTCGAAAAAAGGAGCTTAAACAGATGTTTTATGTTGACTGACGTTGAGTAAATTAATAATTATTCCTGACTGTTTACGCTTCTAAAACCGTCTGTGAACGAAGTGGTTTTATCGAGAGAATAGTGCTTAGGATTTGTGTTGGCGATAGATACTAATGAGTGTTGTGTGGTGACAGTGAGCAAGGCGCAGGCGCCGCCGCCGCCGCTGTCCGTGCCGCTGGAGGGCTGGACGCGCACCTCCAGCGCCTGCTAGCGACCCCGGGGGGCGCCCGCCCCCCCGCACGCCGCCCCCGCCGCGCCCGCACCGCACGACCTCAAGCACACTGCTCCCCAGCCCGCACCAGCGGCGCAAGCTGTCCCGGTGACCCAGACCGCCCCAGTACCGCAGCCCGCGCCAGCCCCGGCCCCGGGCCCGGCGCGCGGGCCGCACCCGCCCCCGGCCCGGTCGGGCAGCACGGCGCACCTGGTGCCGGCCGCGGCGCCCGCGCACGCGCTGCTGTCGGTGGCGCACGCCCTGCTGTGTCCGGCCAACGCGCTGGCCGCCACGTTACTACCCGCCTGCGTACAGGAACCTTCCACAGATCTCGACGTACTCCCCATCGAAGAGCACATGATGCCCACCGATGACGTCAGTGATCTCAAGGATGTCTTTGACGCCATCAACAGGCTGTGTGAAACCATGAGGACCTCTACGTATGACGAAGTCGCGGATGAGTCGCCGGAGGAAGATAACGTCGACGAGGTAGTCGATACAGTTAGTAGCAATATAGTTAGCGTTGTAGAGAGAGTGAGCGAAGTCGAAATAGAGAGTGAAGTCGCACAAGTTGTGGAATGTGACGCGGAGCTCGTCAGCCCGACCGAGGTGTCACTGCGGACCATCGAGGCGTATCGCGCCGAGCGATGGAGCGACGCCCTGGTGTCGCCACCTACCGACGAGACGGACACGTTCCCCTCAGACACGGAGCCCGTGAATGCGGCCTGTGAACCTGTCAGTGAGATGTATTACACTGCATCCTCGGAAGTGTCTCTGTTATCAGATATAGAGGTGCCAGACAGGCCGCCGGTCGAGGAGGAGGGAGCGTCTGACGCTAAAGATAAAGAGGAAAGAAAAGAAGTAGTGATAGCAGGTCACGTGGCCGCTATGCGCGAGCGCTTCGAGTCGATGACGCGCACCAACACGCCGTGCCCGGACCTGGCGCGCTCCACGTCGCCTTCGCTCGACGTGTTCAGGAACATCACGCCGTCTCCAGACTTACTGGGGTAGGTAGGTCAGTAGCTAGCGGGGCTGTAGGTACCCGCAACTTGACGGAGTGGAGTTGTTAGCTGTGGTTACCATACTGGTGACCACAGTGATGTTGACACCAAGTATTTAGGCTAATGGTATGATAAATTCGTCGATAGAGCTTCCTTGATAAGTGGCAGAGGACAGAGGCCCTCACGGTGGATGTTGGGGAAGTCGTGTGCAAGAGCACTAAGTACATTTCCCCAACTTAGCGCCATTTACTTTAGATAACTATGTGACTGGATAACATTTTGTAACCTCTAATGTATAGCTAATCAGTATTCGTTTCGTATTCGATCGTTGCTAGTCCAAATTAATATTATGAACACGAATTGTAACCGACCGAGCGTGCCAAAGGTGTGTTCGCAATTAGCTAAAGGGTTGTGATTTATTTTCCTTGCATCGTCAGGTCCCAAGTAAAACAACAGTTACATATCGACAAAGATTGGTTGTTTAGTTCTAGTGTGTATGTAGCCTTACGTAAGGGCAATTATTATAAAGTAGGACCTCAATATAGCGGGCTAGAGCCGCTAGGAGTGTAATCGTAACTTTCGAAGCATCCATTACTTATCTACTTACATTACAGAGTCACGTCGTGACCGTGGAAAGCTCAAATTTTGTAGTTTTGTAACTAAATCGTAAACTTGCAGTGATTGTGTATGTACTTGTATTTCGTCTGACCAAGTAGCGTATAATGCTTAGCTTAGATGTTACGAAACAGATAAGTTATATGCAATATTATAATTATAATCAATGCCACTTACATTTTTTACAGATTTATGAAATGTTTGCATTTTAAATTGCGTTTTTAATGTTGCCATAATTAGCTGTTAAGTATTTGTTGTGAATTTTTTGAGGATAGCATCATTTGTTTATTTGAAATTGATTAATGTTGTGTATTTATTTACTAAAATATTTAATTGGGTTGAACGAATCGTTTAATGGTGATACTAGTTAAATGCAATAATTGTATTATTACTTTATTATATTAAGCCTGTTGTAATTCATGTATTTAGGATACGGTATCAATATTTCTTCTTATAACGACTTAGCTAATAGTTGTCGTGTATAAATGTGTTATGTGTACAGACGAGACCTTTTATTATAATTCAATATACAGCTTTATTAATATGGATACTTATTTTATTTACGGACGCCGTGAGACGGCGCTACATGCAGCAGGTTCCTAAACATCCAGAATCCTGTAGGCACCTACTTGATCTACTGAAGCTAAATCTAATTTGATGCAAGCTGCGTTAGCAGAAACCTTTTACCCCATATTTATAAAAATGTGCGTATGCAAATAGCTGTCGAGGTAGTAAATTTCGAAATTCAAGTACATAAGGTACATACTTGATTTGTCTGATGATTCGGACGACTAAACAACGATTTTAACGTTGTAAATTTCACTAGGGCTTTGTCCGGTAACCTAAATCCGTATAATGGACCATTCATACTCTTGACAAGGGTTCAGAAGTTTTAAAAGTTAGCCCACTTCAGTTAAGGTCACTACAACTCTATCCCATTTATGTAGGTACTTATTATAATTAGGTAACAAGAAAAACCTACCACAATTACACTATATTTATTTCGAAGAACTGGGCCTGCATAGGCTGCATAACATAGTAGGACTAGGAAGTACATTACAAAGTGGTTGAAAAAATGTAGCAATATTTGAGTTTCCATGAAGATGCACATACCAGGGTCGCATATAGGAGTAAAATTGTACTGCATTACAATGTCATTCAAGAATATTTGCTACCCTCTTTCATTATGAAGACCTATATAGTACTTCAGAATATTATGTAATTTATGTTACACAATAGTGGATTGATGGAAATGTACAATTTCTGTTCACACCTCTGCTTGGCTCCTATTGATCATACGATTGCTGCTTCATATTATAACCTTCCTCGATAAATGGATTTATCTAAAATATTTTTTTTTCACCATCCGTTCTAGTGATACTCATTACTCACCCATTTAGTATCCGACATAACTTTGTAGTTCTTTCATGATGACTTTCTGTTGTTGCATTCTAAAGGTTTTTAAAAATACTTACGCGTGACTCCCCCTAGTTATTATTACAAAATCTAGAAGAGCAAACTTTATTGTTACTAGTCTAATATCCCTGTAGAAGGAGAGCCCAGTAGCGCCTTTGTAACTCCTCTAGTGTTATGGTGTTGTGGGTGTCCAGTTGTCCAATGGTAGCGCAGATTGCTTACCATCAGGCAGGTAATCAGTCTAGTTTGTTTGGTAAAACTGTTCATACACTACAAGTAGCCACATAGGCTTTTTAGTATTTATTCTAAGATAATGGGAAGTCTATATAAAAATAATTAGGTACTTAATACATTATTTCAATAAAAAAAAAACTTGATACAACACAAAGCGTGCTTTTACCTACGCTTCATTTCATACAGGCGGATGCAATGTATGTAACAAACAACTAAGTTAACTTAGTACCACAAGGATCTACAACGCAAAGGTGAAATAAAACCAGGGTGTCATGTCCAGAGCATTTATTGCGTAAAATAGTCAAAATTCTACAAGAGTAGGCAAACGTCACAACTTTAAAATGGAAACGCTTAGAGAATCATCAAGGCAGATAACATTTATTTCAATTATTATTCTTACACACATCTCTTAACACCAGAAATTTAATTAAGAACGGAATTCACTACAGAAATTCTGCTTTTGACAGTCTATGTGAGAGCTCAGTGGTAAGGTAGGAATATAATGACTTATGCTAAGGGACAGGGGGCCGCCAATCCAACAACTCATGTTGTGACAGGTTCCGTCGCCTGCGGGGCCGCAGGGAACTGCCGGCCCAACCACGGCCAATGCCGGGCGACCGCCCATCACCTGTCCGCCTCGCGCCGCCTTACCTTCCGTTAGTTCCCCTCACCGCGCTTAGCAACGAGCGTCGGACACACAACCGTCAAGCGGACGTAGATACGAAACAAACGAGCGCCTACCTTCGCTCGGCGGGCGCGGGGCGGCGCGGACGGCGCGGCTATCGGTAGCGCGGCTGCATGACCATGCCGCCCGGGAACATGGCGCCCATCGGCATCACGCCTCCCGGCAGCAACATCCCTGCACACACAGTCTCAGTCACGGGCGGCCGCGGCGCGTGGCAACAGGGGACCTCGGTCCAACACACGGCCAGCCGTGGTGACTGCAGAACAATCGCCTGTCACCGCGCCGCAACCGTCGCCGGCCGCCCGCGAGTAAGGTGCAGTATAAGCAAAGGAACACAGGTAGGTAGGATAAATAATTCACATGAAAAATCACACTTCCAAAATACTCGGCGATGTAATAATCGTAATATCCGTAGTTCATGCATGTTTAGTGTGATCCGAGAATGGTTGCTCGTAGAATCCAATTCAGCCAACGACTATTAACTCGTTCTTGTCATGCACATTGTAAAGCGACAAAACTACTGTACGTAAATATAATATTAGTGTACCCACCCGTTAACCGACAGTCATATTTTATATGACACTACGAGAAAATCGAGACAGTAATAAGATAAGAGCTACTACAATAAGCAAATCCATTAAGGAATGTGAATAAAATTACCGCTCATTTTCATTCCGTCCTCCGATAGTGCGGATGGCACATCAAAATCACAGTTATAGTCTTGACAGTGTAAGTCTAGGACGAGTGGTCCGGTACTAGGGGGGTGAGAGGTCGGCCGGTCGTGTTAGTGGGCGTTAGGGGTGAGTATCGACAAGCTGTTATGTGTTCGTTACTAGAGACATTGTGGCCGCGGCGACATTAGGAAGGCACCCACCGACCACAAGACCGCAGCCGCCACGTCTTGTGATGCCTTCCAACATTAGCGAACTAAGTGGACAACGGCTCCACGCTCTTAAAACATAAGCGATCATTTTCCTTACACACAGTCAAAATAACTAAAGCTAGTGATGTCTTAATTAGATCATACCAGTTGCCGTGGAAAATAGAAAAATAAAATCACTCTAGTGAATGCACCTTTATTGGCTTATCAATTATTATGACACTCCATTTTCCACGTTCAGATATAGCACGCGTCGCGTGTGTAACAAAAAAGATTCAAAACAATGTCTTACTGTCTTCTTAAACTAAACTATCGTAAAGCAAATATTATTAAAACTAAAGAAAACCACCCACTCTATATTATTCTTAAGTTCAATAAATGCAAAAATAATACCAATAGTGTGTTACACAACTACATTATCGTGTCAACTGTGTTTCTGTCAATATTTATGCGAATATAAAAATATGGACGACTATGGTGAGTTTTCAATCGGAATGTACTAAAAGTCCAGTCTTTATCTAACCTTAAACATTACATAATTTCTTTGGTTTACATTGTACAAAAAAATTCAACGAGTCTCGGCTTTGGACCATTTCAACATCAAAAATACAATTTGTTACAATTAAATACATTTAACTTCATGTTCAATGTGCAACATCAAAGACAACGAGAATATAATCAATACGAATTACCTAATACTTTGATATGTCCTACGTTAGAATATCATATCCATACAAATACATCGTAATACTGTTCATTGGGGGGTCATCTGAAAGGACATCAGAGGTTTAAACACGGACAAGAAATGGAGACAGCAGTCGTTACAGTTACGAGCTTAGCTAACCAGCATGTCACCACTTTATAAACACTCGTAAACATGGTCAAAGGGGGTGTAAACATTACTATACAATGTCTCAACATTATCAAACTTCACAGAATGTCCTCAGAACAGTTTTTGAGCACGAGAGACGCTCGGGATACTCGTGGGGCGTTTGTAAATTGCCTTACGAACATAATGTCACCATTGGGCATTGATGATCATCGTTCTGAAATTACGAATTTGATTCAGTCAGATCGAAGTCGATATGGGTAATTTTGTAACTGGGGGAGGTATGATAAGGCATTTTGCAAACGTGTCGTGTCTGTGGCGAGGGCGGGTCTTGCTATCGGTATGGGTGCGGGTACTGACCGGGCTGCAGCGGACGCACGAGGTTGAACTGCGGCATGACGGGCAGCATCGGCACCACCGGCGGCATCTGCGGCACCGACACCGGCACGTGCGGCACCACGCCCGGCACGCGCAGCGTCGGCGCCGGCAGCATGCCCACCATGCCGTGCATGCCCATGCCGCCCGCCACGCCGCCCGCCATGCCGCCGCCCATGCCGCCCGCCATGCCGCCCAGCACGCCGCGCCGCAGCGCCGCCGCCGCCTGTTGCTGCCGCGCGGCCGCCACCGCCGCGTTCATGTGTGCCGCCACCTGCACGCACAACGGGAACTATGTTACTCACTATGTCTTAAGACCAATCTATGCTGTAGGCAACCCAAACAACAAAAAGAAATCATGTTTCATTAAATATTTACTTTAAATCAATTCTGTTGTTTCTGAACTAAAGAATTTAGATAAAACAAGCATTTAACAGTACGAAAAAATAGGACAAAACTCAAATATTTCTTCTCGTGTAACATAAACATTCTAACTGTATAATCAACAAACATAAATAAGCATAAACGCTCGCGTTTCGTAAACGAAACTTTAGCATTTCCAATGTTAGATAAATGTTTTGCTAGATTCCACACGGGTGCTGTTAGAATACAAATGCTTTCGAATTTGGTATTAAATTAGATTACATTTGAATACAAGGATAACTCTCTAGGATTTTGTTTTAGTATGGACATATTAAAATCAAAACTATCGAAGCAAAATTGAGTATTAGAACAACAAAAGGTGCATTTAAAGAAAACTACAGGGTGCTTCAAACAACATAAATATAAATAAATATAAAAACCACTAACCCATACCTCTGCTTGACTCGTGCTGGGAGTGATCATGGCGGGCGCAGGCTGCGGTTGGGCCGCGGGTGCGTCAGGTTTAGGTTTCGCTCTGTACTTAATATTTCTAGCCCTGATCTCTTCTAATGAGACATCTTCAGGGGGGTGTATAATCTTAGAACCGGCCCCAGTGGCCGTCACTAAAGGACACGCGTTAGCCGCGGGAGGTTTTACTTCACCATTCTCCTTGTGATCCGAACTACTAGAGGGCGTGGTCGTCGTGGGCGGCGCACTTATTGTCGCATTACTGTAAATTGTTTTATGAAGATTGAAGGCGATAACAATTTGATCGTGGTTGAGTTAAATTGCATAACATTTTGCTGTTTCAAATTATTGCGAAATACATAATCTGAGGTGATAATTTTATCTGGTCTAGAAATCGTAAAATTCAAATTATATAATTAACTGGTGTTCCAGACAATTTATTGTACACGAACAAATGGAGCGTCTCTTAGTTATATCTTCACATTATTTTCAGCTGCATAAATATTTTGTCGTACTGAGTATTCACATAGCCTCTAATGTGAATAATTAGCATAGTTAACATTACTGTTTTTATTATTATCTACATTATGCTACATAAACGAGATATTTATGCGAAAAAGACTCATTGAATACAAAATTCACTCATTAGTTTGGTAAAAAGTAACAAAATTGTTTAGAAAATATTTCTATTTTACTTATTACAGTAAGTTATTCGACAGCGTAATTAGTAAACACAATCGTGAAAATTAACGATTCTGTGTAACGAATTCCAATTTGGCAGATGTGTGGTGCCAAAATATTTGGAATAGAGAGTGTTGGAATTTACAATGCATCCGTTTTTCATGACATTGTCGAAACAATCGAAGCGTTAAACCAAAAGAATAAATTTCTTTAAACACATCTTCATTAGCGTGTTGAGATGACGTCACATAAAGAATTTCAGCAACAAGGAATTTAGGTTAGTTCACGTTTACAGTTTTAGAGTTGAAATTGTGAAACCTGCCAATGCCAGTTTACGTAAATTGGGAAACTGATTTTATCTTATCCAAATTATCTTATATTTCTTTGACTAGCTGATAATGTCATGATTGCGTTGACTAAACTAGTAGCTAATAGAAAATAGTCTATAAATCTTTAAACACTAGCACATGAAGATATCTTAAATCATCAATTTTCATTAATACATTTTCGTTTTTATTACAAAACAATAACATTCAAAATCCTTTACAGAAATCTAATTTTGTACAGCTTAAACAGCATCATAAAATGTATAACACAGAACACGTGGCGTACGTAAACACGTGAATGCGATTCAACAGAGAAGTTCACCATTAGTGTTATATCTCTATTAATAGATGTTAGTTATAATTAGCGGGCATACCTATAGGCGGGGAACGTAGGTTTACTCGTCGATGTGGGGGGCATGCTGACCGCAGGGAATAATGGCCGCATTCCCGGCATCATCATTCTGAAACAATTATGTAGAATTTTACTATATGGGTAATATATATTTTTTAAACGTCGCTATCGTATTGAGCTATCCACACTAGGATGTTCTCCGGTGTCGTGGGTGCGTTTACAAAAATACAATTTCACATGCACACGACATTCAGACCTGGAATATTCCGTGGATCACACAAACATTGTTCCGTGCGGGAATCGAACCCGCGACACGTTGCGTGGCAGTCAGTCACCCAGCCACCGCTCCAACCGAGCAGTTAATTTAGAGCAGGACATTTTTGTTTATCAGGACAATGTTAACAAAGGCGCATTTTATCGTCAATTTTCTATACAAGATATTATTATTAAATAAATAAAAATAAAATATTGTATGATAATGATTGTAGCAATGTAAGATGATGAGCTGTTGATGGGATATGATGTTTATGGCTACAATATGAAAATTGGTCTGTTTTCATTGCCATATTTTATCTCTCCTAGTCTCTTGGGTCGTGAGATTGCGTCACAGGATATATTAAATAGTTAACAAAATGATTATGGTAACAAACAGACTCGAAAACCACTAACACATAAATAAAACAGTGCTCAGATTATCGTGCACTGTGACATCAAACTTATCAGTTTTACGAGATAAACAGCCCCTTGCGTGCCCGAGTTAGATTACAAATTAGCTATGCAAGTGCGATTTCTTTTCTTTTGTACATACAAGTCTCATTAAAATGCCAACACGTGTCGAAACCCTCATTAAAATGTTAATTGGGACTGTTCATTGATTATTCACCAAATGTACAGTTGACTGCACACCAGTAGTAATATGACCTTGACTTTATTTCCTTTGCAATATGGGTGATTTTACTACTAATGATATAATTGGGATATTTTCGAGTCGGAAAAGCAGTACTTTTTTCTAAATGCTTTTTGGCCATTTTGTGACGATACATTTTTCTGCGTCAAGCATAGATACTTTTCTCTCGCAAACAGACAAAATGTAATACTTAAAATGTAGAATATAAAATGAACTAACTAAGAAAACATTCCAATTCGGCTGCCATCAGAATGACTGCAACACACCGCATAAAGTTTATGACTGCGCGCGCAGTCCATCGGACGGTAACCAAACTTCACTGCGACATAATATCAAGCGTGATGGTGATATGCAAGTGTCCAACATTCAGCATCATTAGTCTTCATGAATTACATGGTAAAGTAATTCATATAACAATCTGTGTACGTACAACTTGTATTGACGTTTCTAATGTCACCTGCCAACCGTGTGGTAGACCAGGGCGCTCCATTAGAAGAGTCTCAACACTCTACATAAGATCTGTTAACATGGAAAAGACTTGATGATGAACAGCATATAAAAAGAATGACGTCACTAAACTATTGTGATAATGAGTTAAGATTGTTTCAGACTACGCCGGTACTGAAAACAAAGGACGAGTAAGCCGCGTCACAAACTAGCTAGTAGGTATTAGAAAATTATGAAGATAGAATTTGCACATAAGGGTCATAGTGCATTTTAGGACTTAAGTTCTTTCGCATAAGGTGCAGAAATGTAGGAGTAGTCCAGTTCAAATATTTCTAACAGACTCAAAAAAAAAGAAGGCTGTTATCAATTCGTCTGTATTATTTACATTGTTATCTTGGCCATAAAGAAAGTAAAACAGGTATTATTGCGAAAAATAAAATAATAAATAAATAAAATGCGATAAGTTATTGTGTTGTACAAGTGAATCAATAAAATAGTGAAAGTATGGATGGCTTGTGTTTGTAGGTCAAACTGAAACAGTTAATTTTGATATACCGCGAAGTAACAGACAGACTGACTGACTGCTTTAGATTAAATCACACCTGTTCATTGTCAATAGGATGTACTTATTATAAGTTTAATTTAATCTGGGACTAATATTAACTGATCATTCCCCAAGTAGTCACCGGTGACCACTCTCCACTAACTTTATTATAGACTTTATTTCCGATACTTGGAGACTACTTTTGTATAAACAAATTTTGGGGATTTGATATAAAGTGATTAAGATGATAAAACATCAGTGATACATTTAAATCGAGAAAATGTTTATTTTTTCGATGTTGCCTAAAAATAAAATCATATTTTGCAACTGATACATGTTTCTCTAGGCTATTTATTAATGGTATCAAAATCTATAAGCTCAGTTCACCAACAAATTATTAAGAATGGTCACAAGAGTAAATTAAAAAAGAAAATTCAAAGACCAAGAAGGTAATATCTAAACTTTAACACAATGTATCTATGACCTTAATATTACATCAGGGCAAGGTGAGCTACACAGTTATACTGGCATGCAACCTGCATGTACTTATATAGGTATATATAGATAAACCTGCTTCGTTATTGTTGTGTATAACATCATCATTATGTTGATACCTATGTAAACTATACTAGTAGGAACATTAACTTTGTAATTGATTTGAAATAAGATGTTGATTTACTACCATGTGTTCAATAAATTAATTACTATATGACAGTAGAAGAAACTAAGATTGAACAGTAATATATGTTTTTTTTAACCCTTTGAATATGACGGCATTATAGACACAATTAAAGAACAATAGGTTGTGGTCACCGGTGTCCACGCGGTGTTTGACAGTTTAAGGGGAGAAAATCATCAAATGACTGGCCTGGGTGAGGCAGGAGAGAGTGTCAAACTCTGACTGACTAAAAACCACCCCATTTCTACTCCTGCACTTCGAACTGGAGCCCCGGTAACCCGTTAAGATAATATGTGTGTTAGAATATTGATGTATGTATTAAAAAATTCAATGTTGAACCAAATTGTTTTGTTTCAATCGAATATCATAAACATGTGCTTATTTAAGAATCGTGTTTATTGCCTGATATAATGTTATCAAAATCTTTAATGTTGATCAAGAGTCACAATTATAAACTCCATATAAAGAAAAAAGTGCCTAAGGAATAAGAATCTTAAAGTCTAAAATACCACAAATTTGGTGACTTACCTAGGTGCTTGCATAAAGGGAGGCATATGCATCTGCATTTGCATATGCCCTGGGTACATCCCCGGAGGGACTGGTCCCATAGGTGTGGGCAATATGCCGGGAGTGACTTGTGAGGGACCAGGGCCCAGCTGTGGACAAAAACAACAATATAGGAAGGGATTTACTAACTTATCTTAAAGATAAAAATGTTAAATGTTCAAGATAAATGTTTGATAACAACAATAATATACTGATGTTGAAAATATTGTGTGTTAAAGTATGTAGTAGTGAATTATAAAAAGGCTGAATTGTTTCGATGCATGAAGATTTTTGAAGAAGGTTTCACTCTATATAGTGGGATAAGGGTGTATGTACTTACCAGTGCAGGCGTTGCTTTTTTCTTTGCAGCAGGCTCATCATCGTCACTATCTGACCCTTTACCACCACCTGTACAAATTAAAAACATTAGAACAATGTCCTCATTCTTAGAAGCTCCGCTACCTACTTTATGTTGGAACATTGAAACAAACTACACACCTATGTACAATAATATCTAGTGTCCCAAGCATAGTAATGAAATAAGTACATACATCAATCCAAAGTGGCTCAGTTTGGCAGCCAAATAAAAAAACTTTTTATACCTGATTTTTGTTTCTCATGCTCCTTCACATCTTCAGGTGGTATACCTTCCATACCATAGATTTCTATTTCTATATTTGACCTATTTGGTAATGAATTTGGTACTTTATCTATGGCTTCTTTGTGAACCTGTAACAGAAATGAAAATATTGATGTTATCATCTTCTATTGACAATTTTATAATCACTTGTACAATAAATTCACCCACCCAAGTGAAAATAGGGAAAGACATTTTGTGTAGTACTACTATGGGAGCAGAATTGGGCCCGTAAGTCGCGCCAAAATATGTATAGATAGTTATATGTATGCGAGTTAAAAAAAGCGAGCGCGCGTTGGCCGTGGGCGGGCGAGGCGGATGCCAAAACTGTGGCACTGACGCACATACCTGCATGCAGTGTATTGACAATCCAGGTCCCGTGTACAGTTTCTTGTGACAAATGTGACATTTGAAATGTTTCGCTTTCTGATGTTGGATGAGAATTTTTTCGTCGTCGAACTCCCTGTTGCAGTACCTGAATTATGGCTAAGGAAACTTATCAAACTTATTATTGGCTACTTTATCAAGTTAAATTAACGTTTGACCTAAATATGAAGGTCGTGTACAAATCTAATTTCGTAATCCATTTAGTATTTATTATTTGAAAAGGATACCAGCACCATGGCTTAGATGCCTTCTTCTTCTTTCTGCCCATTGTAACGTAAAATACACCAAACTTAGAATAAAATAAATTAAAAACAATTAGATATAATATACTACTTAATTACTAACAATCACAGCTTCGCTATAACAAAAACAATTATTATTTTTGATATAAATTCAATAAGCCACACAATTTGCAAAGGAAAAAGCAACGCAAAATGGCGACGCGATAATGAAATGTCAATGGGGCCACGCCACCTTTGTGTACCATAGACAAAATAAAAAATACTTTGCAATATGTGCGCCTTTGGCTTTTTAGTCACCTGCGGAAAATACCGGTTTTTATATTTACACAAAAAATATTATTGTTTCTAACTTTTACACTAGCATGCATATTTATATTTTTGATAATATTACCTTAAAGAAAATAAAGCTAAGTTCTTATTATTTGTGTTGTATACAAGTTACGTTCTTTGTCTTAGTTCTTTATGTATTTGATGCAACATGTATTTTAGTGGTATTTTCAGTATTCAATTTTTATTAGAGAGCTTTATGCATCTATTTAGTTTTATTTAATAAAATTAATTTATTTCACAGACGATTTAAAAATACACACATTTTCTTAAAATAGTTAGTAATACCATTAAAAAGATGGCGCTACTTGTCACTTGTATATAACAACATTACCAAAAAATATTGAATATTGTATTAGTCTTACCAGATGGCGCTACTTACCACTTAAACTTCGATGTTCATCGGGTGAAGTAATTAAAATTATACTAATAGTGCATGTGAGTTGATGAGACTCATACTCTCTTAGGCACGACTAACGAAAAGGGAACTTGGTCGGATTAAGATTTACATTAACACTAGAATAACCTCCGTCTACTACCCTAGGTACCCCTTCGAGGACCACAGTAAAGGAAAAACGATTGTATAATAAAATTAAAAGTCTATTAAATTAATTTGACAAGACTGCGAAATCTACAGATTATCTAGGATACACTTCTCACAATCCTGCCCACTCATGCATTTTTTTTGAGGGGTTAAAATCATCCAATGACTTCTTCTACGGACTAAAAACCACTCCGTTCTTAATCCTGCACTTCAAGCCGGAATACCGCAACCTTTTCAGCCATATTGGGCCTCATCCGTGGTAATGCGACAGTTGGGTTGTAAGGAGGTTACTAGTTTCTGCCTCACGGGCCCCGCCTGCTTCTTAGCTAGCATGACTGCTTTGCAAAAGGAGGAGACGGCATCTCAATCCTCCTCGCTCCGCATCTTGGACGGACGTGCGAGGTCGCCGTCGCCGATCACATCCCCGTGGACACGGCGATGCTCAGCCCATGCAAGGCATGCTCAGGGCCCGCCTAGCGTGATGATTATGGTAATAGCAGAATTATGAAAAAAGAGGAGGCCTTTAGTCCACCAATGGATTGTCACGGGCCGTTGAAGTGTGTAGTAGTAGTGGATATAATCTTGTACTTAGTATTCAGTGATGTGTGGTGACAATAGTAGTTGAGATAAGTAAGTAGTTGATAAATAAATCACACTTAAGTGTCGCAGAGCCTGCCACTTTTATCTAACAACTGATAATCGTGTACAATCTATATTCTATGTAGTTATCTAGATACCTGCTGGTAGTTACATTGTTGAGAAGGACCCGTTGTGGTCATTGTAAAATGTTAAATAAGTTCCGTTTAGCAAAATTTGTAAAAATAGTATCTAATTTTATACGCAAACTACTTATTAAAAGTTTTTTGGCTACATCTATTTACATTTTTACGAGTTATAATCATAACTCATCTTTGTCTGCAATTAGAGAGGATTCCTAGCCCTTTTCCTCCAGTTTTTATAATAACTACCGTGAGACAAACTAAATAAACTAAAACTCGCGGGTTACTCACGTGAATATGCTGAGAAAAGCTATACTAGTTTCGAATCTACCGAGAGTAGGTTGCGCGACATCGCCGCGACCGCGCACGCTGCTCATGAGGAAGAAGTCCTCTGTGGTTCCCTTTTCTCTTATTTGTTTTACGAAGAAAATTGGGGATGCACTGTAAATTATGGCTTGTCTTTTGTTTTCATTTTTGGACTGGGCACTTTTTTGGTTTATGAGTTTGTACCACGTTTGTATACACGACCACATATCAAGCTATACAAAACCAGTTTATCCTGGTGTCGCGTCGCAACATCTTTCCGCACATTTAACGTTCAGTGTATACTGGTTATGTAAAGCTCGATGTGTAGCCGTGTGTATGTCCAGAAAATGTTAATAACGTTATATTGTTAAACGGAATGCACGACAGGTACTTTATCACAGCTACGGTACACAACCCATGTGTTTCTAGTGTTGACGATACGATGTTTACTATCATAAATGTAGCTATTCATTTTATTTATGAATGTATGTGTAACTTTGTGTAACAAATATGCCGCAGCGTCCTTTACTCATAATAATTGAAAATTTATTAGGATTGTGGATTAGGAGAATGAGAAGAAAGAAGAGATCTTTATTGCCTAGTGTACGAAGAAAGGTTTGCATTTCCAGAAGAGCGCACGAATGTAATTGTTACCAATAGTTTTTAATTAAAATTATACTAAAGAGACATGGTATTTTCTTTCTTTATCACTTTGACTTTATTAGGTGACTCGACATGGACGTATTTATTTATGAGCTCTGTGATTTCTATTTTCACGATGGTATGACATAGCAGAATTATCGGATTAAGATCCAGTGTGTGGATTATACGACAAATATTTTTCCAAAAACGTGTGCCTAATTCGAGCCTATTTAGTGCATGTTTTATATGACGTTGGAGGAACTAACTTATTTAGCACTTCCCCCCTTCGGCCCATCCCCAAAAAGGGGTACACACGGTTTCTCATCATGATACGACAGAAACCTACATAATTGTCATATATATGTTAATCACCACTCACGATTTCGCCGTCAAATAGTTATTATAATCTGCTAATGGTCATAACGTGATGTATAAAATTTTGATCACCGAAATTGACACTAATTTGATATCAATACATTTGTTAGAACTCATTAAGGGGTTTTGTGATGGATTTGGTCTAATTTGATGTTAATACTAGGAAGTTAGTGGCTAGGGTTGATTGACAGATGGTTTTTGATCAGATCTTCTTGGTATGACTGCGAAAGGAGAGGCTCCACCATTCTTCTTTTTACTTTTTCTTCACTCACGAATATTTTGCTAGCTAGGTATGTACATACATTACTCACATGTATATGTACTAACTCGTATTTAGTACATTTTGCTGTATGTTGATATCAAGCGACCAATGTATCTTTCCCTAAATTCAGTAGGTTTTAGGCCTCTATTTTTTTATGACGGGGGAAACCTTCAAAATGCTCCTAGCTTTTTGAGGAAATTCGTACCTAACTAAAACCACCCCATCCCCTCAGCGCCTGTAAGGGGCATCGGGTCCTTTGAAGAGACCTGATCCGGTTTTAGGCCTTGTGAATTTTAACACTATACTACCTAATCACCTTTGTTGCAATGGACACTTTGACTCTACCCCAATAGTATCTTTCTCGTCACCAATATAATCCCTAGTCCCTTAGGTCACCATCAAAAGGCTGAAAATGCACTTGTAACTTGTCCAGTGTTATCGGAGTCTATAAGCTGCACTATTGCTTGCCATCAGGTGATTCCTCTGCTTGCTTGCGTCTCGATACCATAAATAAAATATGTTTTGTATTAAGTATGACAGATAATTTTCCAAAACTCCATCAGAAAGTATTTCCCGCTACTAAATGAAGATATCAATATTCAAGTACTTCGCTACTAAAGTATTTCCTGCATCGCCCACGCAGCTTACACCTGTCACTTTATCTTAGAAAAATACACATAAAATGATGATACCAGTTCCAAACGTAACAAAAGAGTGAATTTCTCATTCTTTAACTATTACAGACGAATGTCAACTGGAAAGATAATAGAAATAAATGCTAGGGGTATTAGACGAGGGAGTGGAGTCAACGAATGAAGTAAAACTTGTCAATATTGCAGTTCATGCATATGTTTTCTATTTGTGACGCTGTTGGCTGTTGGCGCGCCTTTTGTCAATAAACATGGTTGATGATAAATGTTGATGGGCTTGTCCGACTGATGAGTTTCTTTCTGTTTCTTTTTATATTTTTCTTATACTGGTTTTCTTAGATCAAGACTGTACCTAATTGTAGATGATGAGAAGAGAATTACAAATACTTTGCCATAATTGCTCAGTTCAGTAAGATATTAATAAATAATGTAGCTGATGCGAAGATAGTATAGAACCGTAATGTAGTTAGTGTCGACAAAAAAAAGTTTACAGCCGACAAAGTTAGTTACAGTTTCAATTTTAAAAAAAGAATTATTAATGTCTTCATACCTCCCTTCATTGTCAACGTGGTCTTGTACCTAAGTACCTAGGGTGCTTTTAATCAATTCCTGAGATTTAAATTCTATGTCATTTTAATGGCATAATTTTTCTATTGGATTTTGTTGTTGATAAACCTTAGCTACTTCCGTGTTTGTAATCTTCAAGTGTAACAAATTAAGAATGCTAAACAACAGATCGTCGAAACAACAAATATTTCAAACAAACAAGTTTTTAAATGTTCGTTTCAAACGGCCGACGTCTAAAATTAGAATATATTGCGGAATCCTAGACTAAATTAATGGGTGTTGTATTAAATAATTATAAACTGGGTTTCTTGCAAATTGGTTTCGGCGTTGGAAAAATACTGGGCTCAGGTTTGGCAGGTTGATATGGGAATTCTATTTATTGTGTTGCAAATTGAGGGGGAGGATGTCTACAAAGCGCTCCGCAATATCCTGATCGGATAATCCAATTGCCAATTCAAACGTAATGTTGTCGCGGAGAACCTAACGGGTTACCGGGGCTCCGGCTCGACGTGCAGGAGAAGGAACGGGGTGGTTTGTAGTCAGTAAGAGTCTGACAATCCCTCGCGCCTCATCCAGGCGGGAGCAGTAACACGATGATTTCCCCCCCGTAAAAAATAATGTTTATGAAATAACA